ATTTTTTTGTGGGTGAAAATACCAAAATTCCTTGGTCCAAAAACAAACAGATTTTCTCAAAATTCAACCAAAATCGTTTACAGAACTTAGTTTTGGGTCCCAAATAACTCATACAGTAAGTAAACTCTGAACTAAATCTGTTGCAGTGGAACCACATTGCGATCTGAAATGACACAAACTGACCCCAAAATACAGTAAAACCAGATTTTTCTTGCCTATGAAGTTTGTTTTACCTTCTTGAACAGAAATTTCTGCATTTTCCAGTTATTTCTGCACTCCTGATACACACTTTATACAGACAAATGTCTGCTATGTTTGTAAATGAAAGCCCAATCCTTTTTTAAATTGCTAATTCTAAGAATTTTGTTGCTAAAACCTCTTTTGGGATACGTCAGAGATTCCTGCGATCTGCATTTGTGGACAGAAAATGTGTGACATGAGTGCACTGGTCCTTTAAATCAGATTTTTCTGCCTGAAGTTTGACCTCTGCAGGAAGAAACAGGGAGCAGAGAGCAGCTGTGGTTCAATCATGACGTACATGAAGGATTTACAGCTCAGAATTGATCCGCAGGTGAGTGATATTATGACAACGTACCCGATTGGCTTGAATTTATTAAAGTATTGACCAGCGGAGTGAGATCAATGGCCGCCGGGTCGATGTGCTCTGCTGGGAGTTCTGGGAAATAAAAGCAGAAGGTGAAGTCAATGGGAGCTGATTCTGGTTTTAATCTCTATCATGGAATTAGCAGCGTCAGCAGAATGAAGCTGTATAATTGCAGGATGCAGAAAGATGACAAAAGATTACTCCAAAGAACTGCCCCCCAGGTGGCAGCTATCTGAGCAGCACAAGGTCAGAATATCATTTAGTCTCATATATCGAGCCGATATTGTCTCTTGATTCAAATATGTTTTAAGTATGAGCCATCTTGGACAGACTGGAGGGTTTTCCTCAAATACTGTTACACAGAATCTGACAGGTTTGATTTGATTTATGCTCTGTAGCTTCATACTTATCTATTTTCAGTCACGTGTGTGTGTTAATTATTCGATTTTCTGGAATTTGGCCGAGTTTTTTTTAATGATTTCAGAGAGATTTTTTAACACTGTCAGATTTTTCTATATATAAATATTAGTTGCTTCAGCAAAACTAAAATTTTAACCAAAATATCTGGTATTTTTCCTCCATAATTAGCCACAATCCTGCGTATTTTGATGTGAATCCAAAGCAGGCTTCATGTAAGACATTCTCATAGGTTGGTTAATGCTATTTCTATTATTTAAGATCAACAAATATAAAAGAGAAGCAGCTCCAACCAGAAACGATGCAAAAAGATTGTAAAGTTGTGTCTGTTGTAGCTACAAATTAGAATTATTTACAGTTTAAATGATCTTTTCAGGTAGCTGGTTAATTTTTTGGTTAATAAAATGTCATAAAATGATGAAAAGCATCAATAAGTGGCTCCCAAAGTCCTAAAATGTCTTGTTTTTCCAAAGATCCTCAGTCTGACGTCACACAGGGGGAAAAAAACGGAAAATATTCACATTTAAAAAGCTGCAATACTCAAAATGTTAATCAAATGTTATTTAAATTAGCTGACAATTAATTTCGTAGTTGAAAGTGAACTATTTCATTGTTTCATCTGTACGAGTTCACTCACAAATGATTGCAGCAGTATAAAGTTACAACTCCTCTGATGACATTTTACTCATCTGAAAGGTCTGAAAGATTAAGAAAATATGTTTATGCTGTAGAAAAGAAAACATTGGGGATTAATTAACAATCGAATAAAACATCTACAAGTTATTGCTGCCTGCCTCACATCAGACTGTTTAACTGCTGCTGTTATTAAATATCCAACAGCACGTCTTATTAACTTAGCAGCTGGAATCTGAAATAAATCACGCGGCAAAAATACCAGCAGAATGAGGATCAACAGAAGAAACACCTGTAGATTCAGGGAAGTCTCTTTTGTGTCTCTGCTCCTGCTGTCTGGGTCTTAATGCTGCACAAAGAAGAAAAAAAAAATCACATTTAAAGATGTCACATTTTTTCTTTCTTACATTCAGTAACTTCAGAACTCAAAATTCTGCACAGTGTCAAGTAGCAACAATCCTGCAGAAATCCTTCCTTCTGTTTAAATTTACTGCATTTTGTTCAACTGTTTTGCTCCTTTTTGCATGTTCAGGTGCTGGAATATTACAATAATGACACTAAAACGTGAGGAGAAACACGTTTTCCTGATAATATAAAACCAAGGGTGAAGCTGAACTACCGTGGCTGAAGAGCAGAAGAAGTAAAAGTGTAGAAACACAGGTTAGGAAGCAGAAGCCTGGATGCTGTGTGAACCTCCATAAGCCCGCCATGGCCCTGCTGGGACACACAAAGACACACAAACAGCAGCAACACTTTAGAGGAATCACAGTGACAAACTAAACTACTCCTCTAGAAAAAAAAAAAAAAAAGTCATCGTCATTGTTGGCAGTAATCAGATTGTTTATTTATATCACTGGAGGACTCTGAAGAACAGGATTTCTGGACGTATTCACAGCTGAGGAGCAGTGCTGGATCTGTACATGGACTGGAAAGACAAGAGAATTATATTTTGCCGCAGTTTTTTGTAGAAAAATGACAAATACACAAAGTAAAATATGTGAATGTTTGAGATCTTGGAGGTGAGATGAAGGACTTCAGATGCAGGCTGGGCTGCAAGGGATGCAAAAGTAAGTTTATCTATTACAAAATTTGACATAAACATGATTTTACATCCTTGGAAAAGCTTAAAACAAATTTAACCCAAGAGAATAAATAGAACAAGGAAGCAGGAGCATAAAAAGTCAAAGTGCTGCCTTTTAAAAGTAAATACATCCAAGCAAAACTGGCAAAGTCTGGCTTTCTTTACTGGCTTATATCTCACTAAATGTACAGGATATAAAGGATTACAGGGTTTTTAAACTTGGTAAGTTTAACAACAGGTGTCGACTTGATAAATTTTTCTACTGTTTGTCCTCAAACACTTCAGACTCCTGATGTATCGCTGCAGATTTCAGGAGATTTGCTCCCTATGAAAATGACTGTTGTCTTTAATATAAATGAAGACATTTCATCGTACAGTGAAGGAGAAAATGCGCAAATTGGAGCATAAAAATTCACCAGAAAGCAGGAATTTAAGGGAGGACGTTTGATGTCTCCGGCAACAAAGGTCAAATAATATTTACACTTGTGTCCTGATGTTGCAGCTAAACTTTGTGCCTCAATCAAATATCTTGAAAAGTCAAGTTTAGTGTGAAAAAGCACTTTCAGGTTGTTACACAATCATGTCAAGAGCAAGTTTCCCCACCAGTGAAACCAGTGAAGCCTGAGCTCTCCAGTGACCTGCAGAGTATAAAACTTCACAGCAAGACCTTTGACTTGCACATAAAAACGATATAATCTGGGGATTCTTTTACATTCCTCCACTAAGTGAGAAGTTCAAACATTAGAGGATCACAGTGTCCAAATGTGCTCTGAAGTCACTTTGATAGCGTTTTACAGGACGAATACTGAAGATTCTGAATGTTTTGGCACCAAATTGTTGAGTTTAAAAGGCGCCACAGCTGTCTAGTGGATTTTACAACTTGACAAGCAAAAACTGAAACAAAACACTTTTTTTCCACCAAACCTGAGCGTTTGCCAAAGAATTTCAAAATAAGACGTCAAAACTCAACATTTTAACCGAGACTTAATGTTGAATGAGGCTCCAGATCTTCTTTTAGAATCTATACCAACAAAAATAATCTTAATATGAATATTTCAATTTATTGGCAGAAAACTGTCACGTTTTAAAGACACCACATGGTGTCAGCTGTCTTTTAGTGGAATTTACAATCTGACAAGCAAAAACTCAAACTAAATATTGAAAATAATGAAGATTTTTTTTTATTTTTTTTTAACCAAATCTAAAAGTTTATCAGAAGTTATCTAATTCAGGCCTCACAGCTCAAGTTTTGGATTAGAATCTCAATGCTGAAAGAGGCTCTCTGTCCACTTTTGCAGTCGGTGACAACAAAAAAACTAAATATTTGAATTTACTGACAGTAAATTGTCAGGTTTTAAAGACACTGCATGATGTCAGCTGGCTTTCAGGGAAATTTACAACCCAAAAAGCAAAAACTGACACAGAACTTTACTTATTTTTTGAGCCAAAAGTATGAATTTACTGAAAAATATCAAATCAAACCTCAAAACTCAAGATTTTACCAGAAAATGTTAATTTTCTGAAAATTAAAAAAATGTCACAATCATTAGAAGAAGAAGAAAGGAATTAATCAGAATATCTGTTGTGGTTCTCAAGAACTACAAACTGGGGTTCTTCTGCTGTTCTTGTGTCCTAAATGTTCATAAATAGTTTTATTACAATCTAGTGCTGCCAAGTTTCTACTGTTATCTCAAAACACAACCGTATAATGTGCTGTAACACAGACATTCTAATACTGTACAAACACAGCTTATGGTCTCAGGACTAAAGCTCTAAACATTTAGCTTTTATTAAGTTCAACCTGTCAGATTTTATGTCAGCTCTATTCTCGTTCGATAAAACCAGTAAACACGTCTTACCTGCAGTTAAATCCTGCTGAAACTTGTGCAGCGCAGCATCAAACCTCGTCCAGTTTGTCACACAGCGGCGGCCAGATAAGGATTAATCGATGCCTGTTTTCTCCCCTCTGGACAGCAGCGGCTGGCAGCAGGTTGGCAGCTCTGCACAAAAAAACCCAACAAATCAGTGTGAGGCTGCAGGCTGGGCTCTGATCCTTCACCTGCTCCACTGCAAAAAATGTCAAACTTCATGTCACACATGAGCTCTGGTTCTCTGAAATACCCACCTGCAACACATCGCCCTGCAAAGGCAGACACAGCAGCAGCTGCAGAAACACCGAGGAAAAGGACTGGAAGCTGTGGAACTGGGATTTAAATAATAAAATTAAAATTTGATGCTTTTTAGTGCTTATTTTAAAAAATTATTGTCACCCACTCGGCATAAAACATACAATAACTTATTTAAATACTAAACTTGGCTTCAAGGCAAAAGGACAAATAAAGTATGTTCATGTTGCAGCTGTTTTTGAAGCCAACACTTAATGGCTAAAACGTTTGGACACAACTGAGTTTATCACCCAAAGGCAGAACATGAGAGTTCTGCTTCACTTGCAGAGTACTACTGGAAAGGCACTACTGGAAAGGCCACAACACAACGAAGAAACACAAAGCAACAACAAGGAGACACAAAACAACTACAAAGAGACACAAAACAACTATAAACAAAAAAAATAACTAGAAAGAGACACAAAACTACCGCAAATAAACAGAAAACAACAGCAAAGAGACGCAAAGCAGCTGCAAAGAGACGAAACAACAAAGAAAGAGACCAAAACAACAGCAACGAGACACAAAACAACAGCAAAGAGACACAAAACAACAGCAAAGAGACACAAAACTACAGCAAAGAGACACAAAACAACAGCAAAGAGACACAAAACTACAGCAAAGAGACACAAAACTACAAGTGGCAAAACAACTGCACAGAGACAGGTTAAAGATGCAGAAACATGTTTCAATTCTTGGATCTGATTTGCTATAAAGTCCATTTACACTGCTGGTACCGCGGCTACCAGATTAGAAAATAAATGTTGGTGTTTATCACAAAGAATATTCAATCAGTAACAATAATCGCTTTGATTTGGCCAAAAACTGAAGTGGTTTCCATGTATGTTTCAATTATGGGACAGTTCTGACAATAAAAATGATAAAGTTATCAAAAAACTAAATCAAAAGACATATTTTTTGTAATGTTTTTTGTATTTTGATGTAGTTATGGACCATAATCACTAAGAACCAGTTCTATATGTTGGGAAAATGCACATTTCCTCTTTTGTTAATTGCATGTTGTTGAAATG